GAGAGAGAGAGAGAGAGAGAGAGAGAGAGAGAGAGAGAGAGAGAGAGTTGGGACTCGAGGAAACGAGGAAATGGCAGTCTTTAAAACTAAAGATAGCAATCCTTAAAACGGTGACATTATTTTTAAGGACAAAAAAAGGGAGAATCCTCCTACAGAAAGGAGAGGGCAGGCAGGGTCTGTTAAAGTACGCACACTCTTTTCAGATCCTGGGAAATGTCCATGTTCAAATAAACAAGCGCCTGAGCGCGAGCTGGGCGCTTTCTTGCTGCCGATAAAGCGAACGTTTAGACTGAGGAAAGCCGAGATTGATTTACGAATCTGAACGCGCCAGTTTTATGGCCGATCACAAATCCGTCAGCGCTCAACTCACACTGGGAAACTTCCCAACTCCGTTTTCCAATCAAACCCGCTCGGTAGTCACCGCTTCCCAGGGAGACCCACCAGGCGCTGAGGCTGCCTCCGGGATCCTAGAAGGACTAAGCAGCCTCCTGCCCAGGCTGGCAGGCAAGCAACAGAAGAGAGGGAGTGCAAAGGGCTCAGGGAACTGCGGGAGAGGTCAAAAGATTGGAAGGCCTCACTCGGAGGTGGTCACTAGAGCCGTGGAAAGAGAGCCCAGGCAGCTGTCAGTTCCAAAAAGGTTCAGGTCTGGAAATGGGGGGTTGGGGAGGGAGGTTGATCTTTCGCTGTGAGTCTAGGGGAACCCCAGCTTTTCCCTTCTATTGTTGCCTTTCCTCCTTTTGGTGAACCCTAATCCTCAGAGATTATAAACTGCACAAAACAGTTTATAAAAGTTCTACGTGACTAGGTCTTTGTCACTTGGACTTAGAGAGGGTCCCTGCAATGGACCTGTTATGTATCTTTACTGGCAGTAGGTGCCCATTAGCAACAAGCCCCAAATATTTTCAATATCAAAGGGCCCAGTTTGCCCCTCTGCCCATCCCTTTCCTTCCTGGGCCCCCCCTAGTTCCTCCACATATGCTACTCAGGGACAAAGAAAAAGCCAATAGCTCCAGTTATTTCTTGTCTGAAACAAGAGTCCCCGAATTACAGAGAAGATTTATACGAGCAAGCACGCCTCACACGCTCTCCAGCAAAGCACTGCCTCTTCCTTTTTTCTTTTTTTAATTTAAAGAGAGCAGTTCCTCTTCCCAACTAGGGAAAAAAAAACCCTCTTCCTCCTCTTCTTCATCTCTCCTTCCTTCTCTCTCCTTCGATGTGTGCTGCTACTGGGATATTTAATGCAGAAGACGGAGCACAGATTACAGAGGAGGGGTGTATGCCCCTCTTTTAGCAAATCTTCCATTTTTCTCTTGACTTGAAAAGTTTCTACCAACTTTGGTTAGCCCAGAAAAGTGAGCCCTGGATGTGGTCAAAGCCTCCTGTGCCTCCCTCCTCTCATCTCTCTCACTCTATAAGTTGTTGAGGCACCCAAAGACTTAGAAAAAAGAAGATGGGGTACGGGAGGTAAAGGTGCTTACAAAAACAGCTTCCTAAACAAAGGGACTTCAGAGAATAGTTGAGGAGGGAGAGAGGGAAGGAGGGAGGAAGAGAGAGAGAGAAAGAGAGAGAAAGAGAGAGAGAGAGAGAGAGAGAGAGAGAGAGAGAGAGAATATGAAAGAATATCTCCAAGATAGGGTTGATGGTGAGAACCCTATCTCTCCAGCTCAGGAATTTATTCCTCTGATGGTCTGTGACTGGTGACTGTCTGATCTCTCAGTATTGTATCCTTTAGTCCTCCTTCCCTCAGCTCACTTTAAACAAGGGAGAGAAAGAGAGAGAGAGAGAGGGAGAGAGAGAGAGAGAGAGAGCGCTGGGATGGGGAGGATGGGGCTGAAGCCAAACCTAGAGAAGGAGCTTTACATAAGACAGACCAGCACAGTACTCCCGTACTCCCTGCCCACAGGACTTCTGGGCTAACTTAAAAAGACAAAACAAAACAAACAAACAAAACTCTACCTTTCTTCTCAATCCAGAATAATAGAAACATGATCCATAAATTCTGAGCTAGCAAAGGATTTGGGGACTAGAGGGGGATAAAGAAGCTAGGAACCCTGAGGAGGTATGACTTTCCCTCTGGGGCAGGAAGCAAGAGCTAGCACAATGTCCAGTCTCAGAGAGGTCAAGGGGCTTCCGAGGTCATTTTGTGGTTCTAATACCAAGCTAATCGCCTAGAAAACGTGGCCTCTCCATGAACTCTTCATCCTGCCAGCCTCCCTCCTCCAAACTCTCTCTAAGTGAGGCCTCAGGGAAAAAGGGACAGCACATTCAGGTCTAATGTAGAGTTCACCGATTCCTCAGCCTAAGAAGTAGGGCCCCAGAGGAAGAACAGAGTCCCCAAACCCAGAAGCAAAAGGAAAAGAAACTGAACACGGAGACTCCAGGAGGCCTGGAGTGTGGGGTGGGATGGATTGAATGGGGGTAGAACAAAAGAGGATTCTGCTTTTATGCACCTGGCCCTGAGCAGTTTCTCTTTTTCAGAGAGTAAAAATTTATCTAGAATCCCAAACTAGACACAAGAAGAAAACCCACCAAATCCACTTCTACTAGCTCCAAGGCTGGAGAGCTCCATTCAAGAACTGGATTCCATTTTTTTTTTTTTCAGGAGACTTCAGTGACAACATTTCACTGTTAAACAGTATAGACAATCAAGAGTCCCAGGACACAGGCACACACACACACACAGGCACGCACGTACAGGCTCTCCTCAGGCCTGTCTGCATTTTTCAAAACCAGAGAAGCACTTCTGAACAGCCTCACAAACAGCCTCTCTGGTGTTTTTCAGGGGCTCTGACACCTCTGTCCCGACCAGTTCAAACACTCTCCAGGTGTCCAGGCCTCTCTCTCCTTTTCTGTCTCCATGTTTCTCCTTTTCTCCGAACATCAGTCATCATAAAAGGCAGCAAACCTGCCCAACCATCCACCATAAAATAAAAGCCCACAAAGATAGTTGAAAAAGAAAGAGGAGGTGGGAGAGGTTTTTTTTTCCTTTTACGTGTAAAAGAGCCCATAAAATGATTTAAAAAAAAAAAAAAGCGCCAGCCCAAGCCAGGGCTTTGTTACCTTCTGTGCCTCTTGCCGGCTTTCCCCTGAGCTCCTCCAGTCCCATTCCTGACGAAAGCTTCTTCCGAAACTGAGAGAAAAAAGTTTTCAACTTTATGGCTCCAAAAATTTTCCCCCTTGCAGATCCGGGAGAGACGGCTAACACTTTTTTCCCCCAGCAGCCGGTCTGCGGAGATTTGCTGTTGAATAATGACAAAGGAGAGAGGATACGTATTTAAAGAAAAGAAGTGATTAATGGTTTTCTGTATAATTCTCACATTTTTCTTAGCTCTTGTCTACACAGAATGGCTGTGAACTTTAAGCTCTATAGAAATCTTCGGTCCGTCCTCGTCTTCTTCTTCTTCTTCTTTTTAAAGATTCTATTCATACCTTCCAAGTAGCAGCTTTGGCTTGATTCTTTAGAGTCATTCCTGGAGGGAGGCCTTATGGTTTTTAAGAATTATTTTCCCCTCAACTAAGAACCCTTATCTCCTCAGTTAAAACATTACACCACACCCAAGACAAAGCTAATCCTCTCTTCCTCCTTCAGAGCTACAGGCAACTCTTTCTTCCTCTTATCTTTCTTTTCTTTCTTTTAAAAAAACTGGTCTTCTGGCTTCATTCTAATGGGCAATTCTACTGCGCTGGGGATACTGGCCCGATGAGTTCTCTGGCCTACTCAGATTCCTGCTTACCTTACAGGCTAACCAGAGAAATGTAAAATAAACAACAATCAAACATGTGCAAGGGATTGGTCCTTTATTTTCTGGAAAGAAATGAAACAACAACAACAATAACGACAACAACAAAAACCGGAAATGACTTTCAATTGTGGAACTTCTTGGGGCACTTGTGACTGCACCCTGTGCCATCGTGGGCCCACAGAATGGAGGTTTAGAACTTCAGGCCTTAGAACTTCTTGGCTGTAGTACACAAAAGTGACCCAGACCTGGCAGAGATCTCTGATGATCACCTGCTCTTCTTCCCCTCCCCCACTCTGTTCTAGGGGTTATTGGGATCTCAGAGACAGGCAGCTATTTGGTCCCCAGCCTTACTTTCGATACTTTCTATGAGAAAGAAAATGAAAATTAATACAGGAGCAGGGCTTCACAAAAGAGCCCATTTGTCTTCTTGATTATCTATTTGCTTGTCAGAGTTTGAGCTATGGCACCAGCTAGTTCCTTTGTAATATAAAAATACTCAGAAACCCTGCAAACACCCAGAAACATCTGTGCAAAAAATTAGACTCATTAAAGCCTTAAACACCTCAAAGGAAAGTGATACCTTCTTATTGCAGGGAGGAAAGAGACTGGCCTCATGGAGTCCTTTCTCGAACTTTAATAACCAAAGAGCCGTCTGTCTAGGAGACAGCTTAACTGCATTTTATTTGCTTATGACAAATAAATCCCGATATGAAAGACTTTGCCCTACTTAAGCTTCTGGTGTCCTACAATGAATCTCTCTCTCTCTCTCTCTCTCTCTCTCTCTCTCTCTCTCTCTCCCCTTTGGGGCTGGAGTCAGCCCTCCTAATCTTTGTGATTCATTTTTGAACTGGACGGGGGAGAGGGGGAATTTTAAGCCCAAAACAAAACACATCCACTGCAAAGGGAAAACAAACCAGCTTCCACAACTTAGAAGTCTCTGAGGGAGAAATTATTAATGGAGCTTTAAAAAAAGAAAGAAAGGAAGGAAGGAAGGAAGGAAGAGAAAGAAGGAAAGAAAGAAAGAAAGAAAGAAAGAAAGAAAGAAAGAAAGAAAGAAAGAAGAAAACAAACTCAATTGTGAAGCCACACCCACTAGGGTGCTTGGCATATACACGGGGGCGGGGGGGGGGCACTTGTTCACACCCTTAACTTCAACATTCCAACAAAACCACGATGTGATGGTCATGAGATACCAAACATTTATTTCTGTTGTCACTCTGTACAGGACACAAATTTTCACACCAACAAAAGGTTCTAGGCTCAGGCAGCCCCCAGAGGTAGGAAGGGGCCTAGTTTTGGAATGTCAGAAAGAGAACAGGAGGACACACATGACATAAAATAATAATAATAATAATATTAATAATAATAATAAACGATGTAACAATGATAACAACGGGAGAGGGTTCTGCAACATTGTCCTTCCAGAGTAGGAGGGCCACAGCATTTTATTTCCTAATTTCACATTCATTTGTAACCTAAGAGAAGGCCTCGGCTCTACTACCTTGAACTGCCCAGAAGACATTCCCAGCTCCCAGAACTCAACTGCCCCTCACTCTGGCAGGCCTTGCTGGACCTCCGAACAGAAGGCCCTCTTGAGTGTCCCAATTGCTTTCTTTCTTTTTTTTTTTTAATGTTCATTTATTTCTTGGGTTCATATTTGGGAACCCACGTTGTGCAGACCGCCCCTCGCTTCCCTTCTGTTCCCCCTTCTAAGTCTGTGGTGGAAGGGAATGAGCAGTCTTCTCACCCCCACCCCAAAGTGGGCACAGACAGGGAGGAAAGTTATGTGTGTGAGTGTGTGTGTTTGTTACCGTGGCCAAAACACTGTGCTATCTGGCAGTCTGAGGGTGCATTCGCTGGGTGTCAGGAGTAGGGGACAAAGAAAGAAAATCCAGGCTGTGGTCCAGCAGTGGCAGGCAGCAGCAGAGGCGGCGGCAGCGGCCGAGCCCGGCCTCATTTGTTAGCCAAGTGTCGAGGTAATGGTCGCCACCGAAGCTCGTCTTCTCCTCGGCAGAGTAAACAAGACAGATGGGCCCAGGCCTGGCATGATTAAAGATGAAGCGTGGATCCATCTTCACCAAAGCTGAAAACCTGGCGGAACAGCCTCCTCCATTTCTCTTCTGTCTTTTCCTTTCTTCCTTCTTTTCTTCCGGACCCTTCCTTTCTTCTTTTTCTTTTCTCTTTCTCTCTCTCATTTTTTAAAGGAAGAAAGCAAGAGACTCGAATCTTGCTTCTGGAGGACTTTATCCGGCTCCCCATTGTCGTTTCTATAAATAAGGCTTCCCTACCCCCGTTCTCTGTGTTTATTCCTTATAGATAAAGTGGGGGTAGGGTAAATAGGTTTTTCTGGGCTCAAGCCCGGGGACCCTCCCATACCCCACATCCCCCCCTTCGGTGCTTGCTGTTCCCCCCCACCCCCCCAGGTTCGAGCTCCTGCTTAGGGGGCACTAGAGCGCAGGGGGGCCTCCGTTGGGCCGGCCAGGGGGGCCTCCGGCTGCGCCCGCGGTGCCACCCGAGCGGATCTTGGTGTTGGGCAACTTGTGGTCTTTTTTCCACTTCATGCGCCGATTCTGGAACCAGATCTTGATCTGGCGCTCGGACAGGCAGAGCGCGTGGGCGATCTCCACCCTCCGGCGGCGCGTCAGGTAGCGATTGTAGTGAAACTCCTTCTCCAGTTCCAGGACCTGCTGGCGAGTGTAGGCGGTTCGAGAGCGCTTGGGCTCCCCGCCGGCGTAATTGGGGTTTACTGGACACACACAGAGAGAGGGAGAAAGAGAAAGTTTTATTGCCCCCGAAAGGGAGGAGGGAAAACCCTTTCTTCCAGCTAACACCGAGCCTCCAGCTCCCACTACCTCATCTTGGAGGGAGGGGTCGAACAAGAAAGACATCGCGACCCACGGAGGAGAAAAGCCACAAACTTTTAGAGGGCTGCGCTGTTGTCCTTGTTGCCCGGGGGAGGGGGCACTGTGAGGAATCTTGGAAAGATTTTCATCTCACTCTTTGGCCTGAGGATCCCGGTGGGAGAGTGAAGTGTGGGAGTGGGAGGGGTGTTGCCCTAGACCTTTCCCCGGCTTAGTCCCCACCCTCACTGCTCAGATTCCAAGCAGCGCCTTCCCCTCAGTAAAAAGTTTTGCCCACTTCTCCAGCCAAGGTACCAGATTGGAGGGGGGGGGGAAGAAATCCAGGAAGTTGATTCAACTCTCTGCTTAAATACGGATTACTTACCTCCTCCTCCTCCTCCTTCTCCTCCCCTCCTCCCACAACCCTCCCCAACTTCCAACTTTACTGGGACTGCATATCCCTGACGAAAAAGTCGCTGGGAGAATGAAGAAGAGGATGACTTCAAAGGCGCAGGGCCCACTAGGCCATAAAAATTTATGGGCGATGTAATTATGTGGCTCTGAAAACAGGAGACCGTAAATCTCTGGCAATGGCGAGTTTATAGCGGGGACAATTGGCTTCCCTTAGCTCCCTCCCCCACATGCCTCGGAGGTCCCTTCACTGTAAAGCGCCGGGGGGTGGGAGGGGAAGGGGTGCCCACGCACTCACCCGTGCTCACGTGAACTTTGCGCATCCAGGGGTAGACGACGGGCTCTTTGCACGCGGAGTGGGACGGGCTGGGATGCAGGGGGTTCTGGGCGCAGGGAGGCGGCGGGGGGCTGCTGCTGACCGCCTCGCTGCGCTGCCCGGGCTCCGGGAGGAGGGCCCCGGCTGTTGACTGCACGGGAGCCCGAGGGGACAGCCCGGGCGGTGGCGGGGGCGGCGGGGGCGGCGGAGGTGGCGGGGGCCCGGGGTCTCGGCAGGCCGCGTAGCGCTGCACAGTGCACGGCGCCCGGCGCCCAAAGGCCGCCTCCGGCTGGAAGCCGCTCTCTCGCCTCTGGCCGCCGGCGTAGTACCCGGGCGAGTGGTCGCTGGGTAGGTAATCGCTCTGTGAATACTCCTCGCACGGAGGGAACTTGGGGTCGACATAGTTTGAGTTGATCAAAAAGGAACTCATAGCCATTAATTTCTGGGAATTGCCCACAAAATATACTAAAATTTATTCCGACCCCTGACTCGTTTTCCTGTTTCCGAAAGCCCTCCTACTTACTGTCAAGTGAACAAAGTTAGAGGCCCACGTGATCCTCCGAGCCAATGGCCACCCGGCCTGCGATTCCCGGATAAGGAAATCTGCTCACCCGGACCCTACTCCAGCCAAAGAGGTTTATTTCCCCTTCTCTACCCCTCCCCACCCACCCAACACCAGGATTTACATAGGGCTCCTGCGGGGCGACCCCCTCCTCGCCTGGCTTTCTCCACAACAGAGAGGGTGATGTGAGCTAAGAAACAGTGAGCAGGTTAAGAGTGAAGAGCCTGTTTTGGGGGGTCTGGGCAGAGTACAATCCCTGCATCCCTCAGAAGTTGGGGCTCCGGGTGTAGCCCCCACCCTTGCCCTACCTAACCTCCACCAAGCGTTCTCTGTCTCCCATAGGGCACCATCTCCTCCCCAGGATGAGAGGGAGCTCACGCACTGGGTGTCTGTGTGGGGTTTTAAGTGGTTGGTGGACCAAGGAGTTCCTTCTTAAAATGGGTACCCACTAGGTCAGAGGGGCGCTGAGCTTGGGGCTTCTCGGTGCAGCCAGATGGGGAGGGGTAGGAGGTGAGCGAGGAGGCGTCGGGAGCGAGAGGGCGGGTGCGCGGAGGGACTTGTCAGAGATGAATGGAACCGCGGGCGGATCGATAGGAAATTCACGCACTAATTCGGGGAGACTTCGCCTTCCAGATCGCATTTAGTTGTACTATGAGCTTCCTTATGTCCTTCAGTCTGTCCTCCTCACCAGTCCCTCCCTTTAACCCACAAGGCCCATGGTCGGAGAAACGGCTCGACTTCCCTCACTAAAGATAGAAGATAGAACGAAACAAAACCAAACCTGCAAGTTTCCAAAAGCAACTGAATAGTAATTTGCTAATTCCCGATTCATCGAAACAATGCTAACCAAGAGTTCTAATTGCGGCTAAAGCTGCCGCCGCTGTCAGCGTGGCAGAAAGAAATTTCACATCCTTGAATACTAAGTAAAGGAGCCCTAGCTGTGCCGCCCCCACTAACAACCCAACGCACAAGAACACCCATGGCAACCTTATATTTTCAGGGCATCTTGTCTTGAACCCAATGAAATAGCGATCTCCGCATCCGTTTGAAAAGCAAATTTCCTTTGCCTTTGGACACTGTAGCCTTCAGCAACCTTCCCCCTCCCCCATGATTTCCAATAAAGCCCCCTGGACCCAGAATAAAAATAGGCAGGTTGGGGCTTAAGGATAAATTTTAAAACACCAGTAACGTTAACCTCTTGAGTGAACAAGGACCCAAGCTTCCAGGGGCAGGCAGGGGACACCTCAGGTAGATGAGATTTCTCCCTAATTGGTTGAGGGAGGAAAAGAAAAGGAGTCTTCTCGAAGTCAGTCACTGGATTGTCCTCATTTAGAAAATAATCTATTTTTCTTCTGGGAAAGAAAATGAGCGGAGTGTTTATGTCAACTACATATTCCCCTAGATACGAATTTGTGACCACAAAATTCCTTACACAAATTCGGATCTACAGGGTATATACAGAAGACAGACAGGTCTTCTTGGCCCAGGAAATTTCCAGTTCTCTTACTTTCCGTGCGTTCTTCTTTGGGGTGTGATCTGAATGTTTTCATTTTTTATTTCGTTTTGTTTTAATTTTGAGCTCTGGGAGCAGGAAAAAAGTCTCTGTGGGTCCGTTCTTGGAATTACAAGGGGTTTCAACTTTCTATTCAAAAAATAAAATAAAATAATAAAACAGCTGTTGGGTAAAGGAACCTTGTGGCCGCCGCGCGACTTTCGGTGGCATGAATTATTAGATGTATACATTAGCACAAAAGGAGAAAGGGTCATCCCGAGGCTGCCTCGAAGTCAGAATCGGGCCTTTCTGGGTGCCCTCAGCCCCTCCCCTCCCCCATGACTTTTTTTTTAAGAAAGAGAAAATACAAAACCCCAAATTGGCTCCTCCTTTGCCCCCACAGCCTTTAGTTTGTGATCAAACGCATATATAGATATTTTCCAAAGCAAAGGGAGGAGGGAGAGGTGTCTGGGTGTGAAGGGGGTGTAATAAAAGTCCTTTTGGGAAAAGTGAATGGTAAAGAGAGAGAGGAACAGCTGTGAAGAAAAATGCTGGGAGACCAAACAGATGCCCCCCCCCATATTTAATGATGGGCAATTTCTTTTACAACCTGAGAAAAAGATCAAAGGCGGTTCATTTCCGGATGAAGGGCAATGAGGAGCCATAAAAGTTGCAGCCAGATGATGCACAGGCCCCTCCCAACCTCACATATTCCCCCCCCCTATACCTCCTGGAGGCTGAAATAAGGGGACAACCCTAGAGGTGTGAGAAGGACCCTACTCCCCACACCTTGTCCCCAGGCAAGGATCCTCAGTCTAAAGGCATGCTAACTGGGCCCATCCACCTGCCTGGGTTGCTGACAGTGGGGCCAAAAATGGGATTCGGAAGTTTCTGAGTGAATTTCCTGATGCTCCCAATAACTGTTGATTTTCTAAAATGAAAAAATGAAAAATTGAGCTAGAAGGATCTGGAGCTTAGACGGGCAGAACTGGGACCAGGTGAAGGAGGCCAAGTGTGTCCAGAAGAACCTTTCTCACTACCTAGCACCCTAGGTTTGGGAAATCCTTCTGCCCTTACCGAGTAAATTACAATACTGTCAATTTCATGAACATACACAAACAAGCCCAACCATCCCCACCTATGCACACACCAGGAACACTTGCAAATGGGCAGGAGAGATCCCACCTGCAGGCAATTGGGTCCAGAAACCTCTTTCTTTATTGTTGTTGTTAAGCCTCATAGATCTAGGCATGGCAATGTTATCCTCTGGGTTTAGCTTCTAACCCCAACCTCCTAGTAGGCCAGACTCATACTTAACTGGAGAGATAGACAGGGAAAATGCATTGTAGTTTTTAATCTTCATCAAAGACAAGGTTCAATGTGGTCACCCATAGACAAAGTGCGATGCTTTGATCCTAGCATCAAGCAAGAAGAACCAAGTCTTCTCAAAAGGCATTTAGAGGTACCACGAACTACTCCAATGTCCAGGCCCCTCCCCTATTCCATATCTCCTGTCCTGCTCAACTAGCTGGCTCTCAGATACCGGTCTACACTTTTCTGATCTACACTTAACAAGGGATGTGGCCCAGGTTTCCTGAGCACCAAGGGAGAGGAATCTGATAGAGAGATGGCAACATGGGTACGTTTGAACCTAGGGCTGGAGCACTGAGATTTTCGCTTTTGCGAGCTGGAGAGCCACCACCTGCCCTCCCACCAAGGCGCAGCAACACCCATGCACACTCCCTCCCAGTATAGACGCCAGGGGCGGAAGGCAGGATGTATCAGCAACCCCAGGACAGGTTTCTCCATAGCCAGAGGCAGCCTTACCTCGCTACACTTAGAATACCAACAACAATAACCATAACAATGAAAATACACAGAGCCAGAGGCTTGTGCACTGTCTGTGCCCTATCTCTAGTGCTCCAGGTCCTTTTAAAGACTACTTAGCCTCCTTCTCCTGGCAGCCACAGGTTGCTAGTGTGACCCCTCGCTGCCCAGCCCACCCCTTCTCCGACATCACTGGCCTACCCCCACCCCCACCCCCGGCATCACAGAAAAAATCATCCACCTTTTGTGGGAGAGTTGGAAGAGAAATAGAGAGGAACAGGAACCAGGGGGCCAAGCTGAGGCCAGTCCCCGGCGGGTCCGGGCACCCCAAGCGGCTGAGGCCATAGCAAGGGCCTGAGCCGGCAAGAGTACTCACCCAGCCGCTGCCCGCCTGCTTCTAGCCAACCGGCCGTGGCCCGCTGAGCAACAGCGGAGCTTGCTCCCGTCCACTATTGTGTATCCGGAAAACCGAACCGCGGCTGCGGGCAGGGGAACCACAGGCGCCCTCGGAGGCCGGAAAAAGACTTTTTTTTTTTTTTGGTGTGTTTTTGTTTTTGAAGCGTAAGTTTTCGTATTAATCTCATACTTTGGCGGTCTTTGTTAAACAGCTAAGCGCGTCACGAGGCTCTCGAACATTTTAATAATTTTTAGACGCCGTGACCTGCAGTTCACCCCTCTCCGGGGCTCCCCCACGAGTAGGCAGTTACTATAATATGCTCATGCAGTTCGCTCGGTCATATTGAATTTTGCGCAGGTCATTACTTGGGAGAAAAATGACAGGGCAGGAATTTGATTCTGCGTACCCTCTCCAGTTCTACTTTTCTCTTTTCCCCTACCCAACCCCCATCCCAAAAAAGTCTCCATTCCAATGCGATTCTGGCTGCCCCGCCCTTGCTTTGATTTTTTTTCCATCATTCCAATATTTTTGCCAGCTCCGGTTCCCAGCGCTGACAGCAAGACCGTGTGATCCCGTGGAGGGAATCCTTCTGAGGCCTGTACACTAAGTAACTATGCTGACACTGGCACCTCAAAGGCAGAGAGTGTGTCATTGGACATCTAAACCCTAGAAAGCAGGCCTCAGCCAAGGGGTTCCTTTTCTGGAAGGTCCCCCTAAATGTTTGCACTCTGCAGGGCTTGTGTCAACTGAGACCTCTTCTTCCACTCTGTTTTGTCGCCCCAAATGCCAGATACACTGCTACTTCTGCTAAAACTCCGGAGGCCCCAGAGTTCCAGAAATGACTTTTCCACCTCTCTGGATGGAGCGTTTGATCCACAGCAGAGCCCGTTCGGGAAATCGAGAGCCCTGAGATATAGGCTGGATTGCACTGCTCAAGACTGGAAGCTTGAGCTTCCAGAGGCTGTGATTGTTCCTAAAAACAAAATACTCCCTGCTCCGTGGTTCTCATTCATTCTACAACCCTGGTGCCTCGCCCCCCCAGAAAGACGAAGGTTTTAAAATCTGGTGGGATGTCAATGTCTATAATAGCTTTCCCTTTCTCCGACCCCCAGCAGACTGGCTGAGGTAAGCCAGATGACTCCTCTTCCTCCCTCCGGCTTTAGGGACCAAGTCTAATGTGGATACTGTGGCAGTGTTTGGTAGTGCTATCTTCTAGTACTGATGGCTTGGGAAAGTACTCTCTAAAGCAGCCAGTTTGGTCTGAGGTGGCAGAAGTCACTCTTCCCTTCCTGAAACCTTTTTAGCTTGGGACTTTGGACCACTCCAAGTCTATCACAGATTTTTTAATTTGTCAACATTTTTTTCTGAGATGAAGGCAAATGAGCCTTAAGAGAGAACCAAACAAAATAAATTCTCCACTTGTCCTTGGAGCCTCTACTCCTCAGGACCCAAGAATTCCTCTCTGAACTCCACCCCCCACCCCCCACCCCCAGAGAATTTCACTTGAAAGCTGAATAACAATAGGATACCGAAAGCCTTTTAGTTGGGGTGGGGGAACCCTAGGGTTAAATTGACTTGAAATTTTGCTATTAACCTTTTTTTTTCCTCATTGGCTTATTTCAAAAGTCATCTTTACAAAAGCTCTCAGGTTTTCTCCACTGTAGAAGGACAAACTCCCACAGTGCACCTCCTACAGCAAATATTTAGGAGAGACTGTGATGGCATCTTATAATGCAATAGTCATTTAAAGACCAAAATAGGCATATGCTTTGTTATTACCACGGTCTCTAGGAAGCATTGTACTTATCAGCTAAGCTTAATGCATAGACTGAGGGTTCATTTCAGGTCGCCTGTTTCAACTCCATATACAAAGATCTCCAAGAGACCATTAGGTGTTTTTCCATCACACTCGCCCTCCCTCCTCTGAAGAGGGAGAGAGGGAGTCCGGATGAACATCCAAACGGAGGCTTGGCAGAGAATGAGAGAGCAAACTACTTTTCAATGCCCTAGTTCTTAAACACGACATTTAAAGGAAAGGATGGGGAAATTTAAATATATATATATCTAGCACTGACCCAAAGTCTTGAACTCAGCTTCCTGCAACTAATTTAGGAGCTAAGGGTCTGGGAAAACAGGGGACATCTTTGGGGTGTGTGAAGAGCCTGCAGTGTGTCCCCTTTAAGGCAAGCAGGGTGGGACTGATGTTGGCGAGAATCAAGCCTTCACCGTGGAAGCCTTCTTTTGGCCCTGCCAAACGTCCAGCAAGGACGTGTGGGTAATTGGATTTTTTAAATGTGTGCGGCTGGGTAGGTTTTAATTAAATTTTATATGGTGACTCAAAGGTTATCTTTGGGAGAGAAAATTGCATGGAGGATTCCACGCCCCGGAGCGCTGTCTTTTGTGCAGTTCCCCACCAAGCAGTCTCATGGTTTTGGCCGAATATCCTTCCTCAGTTTCCCCTCCCTCAGATATCTGCCTTTCCCCTATATCTCATTTCTGCTGCCTCCACCCCTTCCAGCCCACTCGCCTTCCTTACCTCCAGCATCCCAGGCTCTCTCTTCTCTCTTCACACATACAGCCCCCTCCCCCTCTCCCACCCCGCCCCCGCCGCTAGACGCCTGGGCCGCCGGGATCACGCATGCACGTAAACTTTTGACCCTCCAACTTTGCGACCTCTCTGGCAATAACACAGGCCTCATGGCCCTGGGTCTGTGAGTACTGCGGAAACCAAAGAGCAGAATACCTTTCTTGTCCCTCCCCTTTGGCCACCTTGCACACCCCACCCCAAGAAAGAGCTTTTAGGATTTTCGATAACTCCTGGGGGTGGGGGGAAGCACGGACCCCACTTCCTGAGCTTTCATAGGTCTCTTTGGTTGAGATGCCAGCCAGGGCCTTTGACCATCCACCCTCCTTCATTCCCGTCTGAAAGAGTGAGGCCGTGGTTCCTGGGAGAGGGGCCTATGGGACCCGCAGAGTGGGCTGACCTGAAAAAGAGTGAATTCTAAGGTGAAGAATGGAAAGAGCTTGAAGAAGAACTTCCTTGAGATCAGAGGAGTCTACTGTGCCCTCAGGGGTGGAAGGAGATCCGTGTCCGAACAATGCAGACCCAGCGGGGCCCGGGGCCACCTAGAGCGGTCGCTCTCTAGCGTCTCCAAGACCCCAGCCTGGCTGTGAACTTGGTCTAAGGCGGACTCTACTGGCAGATCCGGGAAGTTACAGCCTCTGCCTCCCGGCCAGCGCAGCAGCCCTGCAGTGGACCAGCGCGCTTTCGGTTTCCCATCTGTCCAAATACCACCTCTCAGGTTCCCTTCTGTTGCAGGGAAAGGTTTCATTTCTCCTTCCTTCCGTAAGGTCCTTTGGAGTCGTTAAGCAAGAAGGAGAGAGAAAATAGAGGAAAGAGAGAGGAAGGAGGAATAGAGAGAAAAAGAGAAAAATAGGTACATAACACTGACTCCAAATCCCCCCCCCCAGAGGCGACTCCCCACACAGTCACTCTCTCACCACTGGTCTGCTAAGTGCTTGGTGCAATGCTAACTGCCCCCTTTTCCACTTAGGGATATTTGGGGGGTTATCTGGAGGTTAGGTAAGGCAGTCTCAGGCTTAGGAATTATTCCTTGAGGAATGATTCATTCTACCCCACCGGGATCTGAAGCCATGGCTTGCTGCTTCAACCTTAGACGCTGAGCCCCAAGGCCTCAGGGCAACCTGCAGCCACGTGCACTAGGTCCCCAGTCCCTTAAGGAAGGCAAGAAGAGCCAGGCACAGGAGCCTTTGGCATGGACAAGACCTTGCAAAGTGCTTCCCTTTGTATCCAGCCTCATTCTCAAAGGAAAGTAAAGGAGGGGCAAACAGGAAGGGAGGAAGTTAAGGTACAAAAGGAAGGGAAGGGAAAGGAAGGGAAGGGAAGGGAAGGGAAGGGAAGGGAAGGGAAGGGAAGGGAAGGGAAGGGAAGGGAAGGGAAGGGAAGGGAAGGGAAGGAAAAGTAGTAGGAGAAAAGTAAAACTTAAGCACTATGTACTGGCCGACAGGTTTCCAAATTACCAGGAATTTGATCCTATCCAGGACTTTAAGCCACCACCACTTCCACTTGGAATTCCTAATTCAGTGAATTCTCAATGAATTCGTCTAAAGACAGGAGGGAAGATCACCTAAACCTGTAGGCACACCCCAGCGTGACCTTCAAGTGGCTGATGTAGGTAGTGTGGCCGGCAGCGGGTAATGTATGCGGCTGAGGCTCAGAGCCCCACATAGGCCGGCGCGCGCACCCCTCCACCCCCGTCTGCTGACCTCTGCGTGATCCCGGACTCTATGAATTATTGATGAGATATGAGCGTTGATTTCCCCTTTCAGGATGCAAACTCCATTATATTGTTAAAATGGCGATTTAATCGTTGAGAATAGCTTTGGTGTGGGTTTTTCCCCCAACTCATTTGTGCCTCCTTCCTTTTCATTTAACTCTCTTAATTAAATCCTTTAACAGATTTTAATCACTTTTTGGAGCGAAGGGTAGAAGGAAAAGGAAGGCCACAGCACGGACAACAAATGGGACAGTAAAAGGACCACTCAAAACAATCCTGAAAACCATCAGGAAGCTACTACCTTTTGGGAAGTTGAGGGGAAGGTGTAGAGGGCTGTTAACACCTCTAAAACGACGGTTTTGGGAACCTCCACCAGAGACAGCATCAGAAAGCTAGAAAGACGGAACTGAACAAGGAAGATACATTAGGAGAAGTCTAATCTACCTCCTAGAAGATTTTGAGGGAGTCCAACTGCAGTATCCAAGTCAGGCTTACCCCTTGCTGAAGGCCAAGGACTTTGAGGTTGAGAGTGTCACGGGATTCTCATGGGCAGCAACTCTTCCTATCTGGGCCTCGGGGACACTTAGGGAGAAATGTCCATTCTTCGTAAAGGGCCCCCATTGCTCCCCTCCCCCTTCCCAAACAGCTCAGTTTCCATGTGGTGTCTGGGTTAATTAATATGGATGTGTAACTCCACTGCAGCAATCGATAACCCCGCTGTGGGCAGATCCCAGCCCCAAAATCCAATTACTCTAAAAACC